TTTTTGATGTGATTTTTCATTGATAACTTGTTGTCAAGCAAAACACCAAGGTTGGAAGCAGTATCAGCTAATGGTATATCACATCTCCCATTTTAACAGAACTAAAATCAATTTTCAGCAATTGCTGCCACGTTCCAACCGGAAGTAATTGAGTTTTGCATTCGTTTAGTTTTAACGAGTTTGATGACATCCAACGTCCTACCTCTGATAAACATCCGATAAATCTCTCAACTTCAGTTTTGAACAAACAAGGAGAACTAGTAACCAGCACCTGAATATCATCTGCAAATGCATGGCAGACATATCCTACGGATATGTCTGCCATGCATTTGAACATAGCATGTTTGAACATATCCTACGGATATGTCTGCCATGCATTTGCAGATGATATTCAGAAGGTTGGATATCGGCCTGTAGCTTTGCAACATCGTTGACATCACCATTGGCTTTTTTTAAAATCGGGACAACCATAGCATGTTTGAACCCAGCAGGAAATTTACCCAAACTTGTAAGAAAGCAGATAAACAAGTGTATATATTTCTTAAAAATATGCGTCGGAAAAATATCTTGTGAACTTGTTTTTGAAGGAGAATTCATTATGATGCCTTTAAGTTCGGTTTCTGTTATTTCTGGAAAATCTGCCAATGAAACAAGATTTGTAACAAGACTGTGATGTGCTGACGGAACCAAAACGTTGGTAGACATTATAATCTTGTTGATCTTGTCTGTGAAGAACTGCATGAATTGAGAAGCTTTTAGGTTGATATTATCATCGGATTTATTACTTTGTTTATTCTACACAAAACCCTGTTCACAATCTGCCAGCGATTTTTGGAGTTGTTGTTAGCTTTGACCAAATTTTTCCAGTAACTTGAACGTTTTTTAGAATAAAGTTTATTTCTTTCTGACAAAGAAACCAACCAGTCATTTCGATGATCAATCGTCGAGTGATTTCTATATGACCTCTCCATCCGCCTGCAAGTTAGTTTAGCCCGTCGACAATCATCATCAAACCAAGGTGCCATGCTCTCTCCTCTGTCATAAATCAAACGCCAAGGCACAAGTCTGTCGACAATTTTTTTTAACTCGTCGTTAAACATTTTTAATTCAATCTCGACATCGTTACTCTGACAAGGCCCAGAGACTGGAGAATCCAAAACAGCCCTAGCCAGTTGATTTCCGTCCAGACTTTTCCATGACCTGACATGTCTCGCAGTTATTTTACGAAATGTCTGAATCAATGTTTCAACTGTTATTAAACTGTGGTCAGACATCACTCCGCTTGGAAATATTTTTATGTTGGTAACAGGAAAGTCACAAGAACTGATTACCAAATCCAAAGTACCACCCAACACATGTGTTGGTTCGTTAATGTGGTTGACTAACTGGAAGATTTCAAATACCTCACCCAATCGGATGGAATATGGATCATCAGTTCTTTCGAGATGTACATTAAAATCTCCCATGAGCAAAACGTTAGAACCCAAGACTGTAATCTGCTTTAAAACTGAAACCAGTTCTTGAAAAAATAAAACAGACAGTTGTGCTGAGCCAGGTCGATATATAGCAATCAGAATGAATATACTTCCGTTGACCCAAAATTGGATAGCAACAGCTTCAAGTGTAGTAAGTTGTGGAAGAATTATTTTTTTGTACTTGAATTCTTTACGAAAGTAGACTATCAAACCACCGTGACCTGGATCATGCTGCCTAACAAAATCAACAAACTGATATCCAGCAGGCATGGCCAGATTGATAGAAATATTTCCAGCCAACCCGTGCCATGTTTCCGTTAAAACCAGTATATCCAACCCATCACAAAGTAACCCATGAACATCATCTACCCTCTTTGAAATTGACCTGACATTTAACAGTCCAATCGTAACATTGTATTTAACATTAGATCCTTTGTTTGTTAGGTGATGAAATTTATTTTTAACTAATCCAAACAAATCAAAGCACGAACCCACTCTACCATTTATTAATTTGACTCTTTTTTTGCCGGAAATTTCACTATTTTCCACCTTCCCACCTCCCCTCGCACTGTATAAAAAACCCTCTTTACAGTTGGTTTCTCTCGCCTTTGCATCATCTAAAATTCTTTTCAGCTCCTTGCGCTGATCAACAGTCAAATCATGACTCAATTTGACGTGTGCAAAATCATCGTTCAAAGATCTGAGTTTGTACAAATTGGTAAAGAAATATTCCTTGCTTTTTACATCATCAAACATGATGAGGATTGGCCTGACAACTCCTTCACCTCTCTTACCCAATCTAAAAACTTTCAGTATATTTTTTCCGTTGACAGTGTCATCAGTCAATTTTGCAATCATTTTTATGACCCGATCCTTGTCAACAAGGCCTTCTCCCAGCCTGAACAGCATCGCATTAGCCTCTCTTTCTTTAGCATCAGCAACATCATTTAGTGTTTTTCGGACATTTTTAAGATCTTCATTGATGATCTTAGCACTATGTTTCACTTCAGTGCTGACCACACTAGCAAAAGATTTCATCATTTCAGACTTGAGGCCGCTTATCTCTGATTTAACTTTTTTCCCGATGTGCACTCAATCGAGTCCAGCTGCGATTTTATAGCGACGTGGTTGGCACTGATGGCATTAACTTTTTCATCAAGTGATTTACTGATTTCATCAATCGATTTATTCAACAGCCCCAAATCAGTTTCTTCCAATTTAGTCTTAATTGAAGCAGTTACATCGTTGAGTTTGTCTAACTTTTCATTGAACGTAACTTTTATGTCATCAATAGATTTAGATAACAGTTTCATGTCACAAACGTTTTTTACACATTTATCACAGAACCATTTAATGTTACCGTTTAAACGTACAACTGAATAAACCTCGTCAGACATTGAATCAACATTAGCCGTGCACTCACACTGAAAACATTGAAGCTGTTTCAACGTAAGTACACCGTCTTTCTTACCTGGATTTTGACGTGTATTCATAATAACAGGTGGAACAAAACTGTACACTGCAATTAACACGTGACTAAATAAACTCTATGAAAATTCGATTCAAATGCCAAAAATAAGCAACTTTAAATATTGAATTAAATTAAAACAGTATCTAGAATTTAATTGCAATAATATGTCCAATTTTCAGAAACAAAATCAACACTAAAACTCCGAAAGTCGAGAATCTCTAGCAGAGCGAAAACAAACAATACAATAGCCACGATAACCATATATATATATATATATATATATATATATATATATATATATATATATATATATATATATATATATATGCGGTTAGAAGATCAAATTCTTGACAATATGTAATAAATTACACCAATTTATTAGTGTTTATCAACTTATATTCGAATTTTTCAATTTGTCTTAGTAAGAAATAATTTTCGTTACTGATGCTTTCATTCTTCGCGTTGAAGAGAGGAATTAATGTTAATGTTAAACAAACAAGCAATTAACATTGTAGAGACAGAGTATATATATATATAATATATACTTGAGCATTTGGCCACATGCACAACGTATCAATTCGAACACCGAAGATGGTATAGGAATACCGAAAAAACATTTTCGTTGTATTATGCTTAAATGTTCTACCATGCTTAAAATATATAAAAAAAATTGGTGTTGAACTCAAGAAATTTGACAATGATTTACGATCTACAGTTAGAAAAATCGAAAAATTAAAATTAAACAGGAGGTTAACTAATGCGGAACATGCTGCGATCTTCATCAATAATTTCTGACGGTTTTACCATATCATCATCGTCGTCATCTCCATCTTTTTCAATAATGTTCATCGTCATTGTTTCGCTTTGCATAGCATTTCAAAATTCATTTCTTCGAAACTCAAAGTCTTTTCAACGGGAAATTTAATTACTCTTGGAAAAAGGAATTGCAATTATTTTTAGCAGGTGGAGGAAGTTTTTCTATCATACGTGCAAAAAGTAAATTATGTATGATGGCGTTTGTTGTCATGGTGGTCGTCGCGTGATGACGTTGTTGTTGATGATGATGATTTCGAGGCGATGATGATGATAACGATGATGTTCGTGATGATGTTAATGATGACAGAAGAAAACTCTTTGAAAGCTCCTAATATTTCATTTTAAGAAATAACAACAACGTCAGTATAACGAAAGCAAAGAATGTATTAAATCAACACTACAAAGGATAGAAATTAAAAAATTACGTGAAGAAAGCAAATGAATCCTACAATAAAAACAAACAGCTCAACGAGTAACGACGATATTTGTAGCGTTTAGCTTAAAAGTGTTCATTCCCAAGTTCACCGTGTTCTGTTAAAAATTTTCATTTAAACTTATTCAAATAAAAATCACATCACTACCATACATTACGCTAAACTATGAAAGAACACTGAAAAAAATATTTGGTTTTCGATAAGATTAATTTTCATTAAGATTTTAAATTAAATGATTTTAAAAATCCGAGTTAATTTTTTTCGGTTTGGAAAGTTTGTTGATGTTGTTCTGTGCGATGTACATGGTCATCTTGTTGGCGAGGTCCTGCCTTCCAACTCTGATTGCAAGTTCGTAAGCAGTCTCGCCTAGCTTGTTCTTCTTTGTTGGACTGGCTCCACACCTTAAAAATTGTTTCAAAATTTTCATTCAGTAATTTAATTAAATAATTCGTATACCCGAATAAAATTTGTATTACAAAAAAACTAACTATCAGCAAGAGAAATAAGCTCTCTTTTAATTTTTTACCAACTAAAAAAAATTCTTCAACAGATGGTACACGTTAAATTCAAGTGGTCACATTTCAGGGAAATTGCAAAACAAAAATAGTTGAGTGAATAAAAATGTATTAAGACCACGACAGGAAATTTTATTAATACAAACATTTTTATCTTGAAAAATGGCGAGAGATAAGAGCCATCAATCAAATTTTATGAAAAAATAAATAAAACAATAAAAACGCTAACATCATCGTCAGCAGAGCCAACAACACAACACCAACGTCATCATTACAGTAACAAAAACACCAACAACAGCAACAACACAACGACCACAAGACCAACTAACCCTAATAAAACTTCGACAACTTTGAGGGCAGCACCATGATCAGCCCCAGCAGCAGCATTCACATTGTGCTCCCTGACAGCCTCGTGCAGTGGCGTGTTGTGCATTGAGTTCTCCACACTGTCTACGTGCAGACCAGCTTCTACCAGACTCGGAATGACGTGGTAGTGTTTGTAGATGGCTGCATGGTGGAGGAGTGTCAGTCCGTCACGTGTTGTGCAATCCTTTGGTGAGGCTCCCTGCATGTGTGCAATCTCAATGATCCATTATTAATATTATATTGTAAGATTTAAAGCGATACATTACCGTCAACAAATTTCAAAAGTAAATTTTTCAGAGATTTGCAAAGAGAAACAACCAAATCAAAAATAAATAAATAACAAAAATTAAGTAAATTTATGAGCATACCTCAAGAATCAGCTCTTGAACTTTTTCAACGCGTCCACGACCTAATTTGCCGACCTCTTTCGTCAGACTTTTGTTCAGTTCACTTACAGTGTTGTTAACGTCGTCGTTGTTCATTTGTCTGCTGTTGCTGTTCTTCTTTTTCAGGTTGCTTCTTCTTTGCGAGGTATCTCCCATGCCTGTTCTTCTCGTTGGGTCTTCATAAGAAAAATTTGAATTCATAACTACGTGCCTTTTTAATTCAAAGTTAGATGAACCTTTTAGAGATATTTAAAAAAATTTGTTACGGATTCAGAACTTATTTTTGACATGTAACTAAACATTCTAACGTACTGTCGTCGTTATCGGCATCGTCATCATCGTCTTCGGCAATGAGATCATCGAGTGTCATCAGATCATCATTGTTGAACCTGCTGCCTGCAGATCTCATTCTGTCATTTTTTAGGTTGTTCGTGTTCACGATATTATCTGGTGACCTGAGAGCAAAATTCAAGGTCAAACTCAATTCGTAACCATCTTCATTAACGGTGGCCTGCAGTAACTGAAATGTTAAAAAGGAGTTTTTTTGTTGAAATTGTTTAAAATTAATTATAAAAGAATGATTGAAAGATTTTATTAAATGTGTTTCAAAAAAGTCTCAGTGAATCACTATCAGCAATTTTTAGTTAACAAGACACTTGAAATATCTAACAAATAATAATTAGATGAATAATTTTTTTATAAACGTGTAATTTCTATCCCTGGTTGTCAAAAAAATCAACATCACCAAAGTTTACACAGCAATCACTACGTAGAAATCATCACCATAAACATCATCCTCATCATCACTGCCCTCATCATCATCATCATCAACAACATAACTATCATCATCATCATCACCTTCCCCATCCTGGGATGAGCAATGAGAGATCTGAAGTTTGTGTCCTTGGAAGCATGGGCCTTCAGATGTGCACACATGTGCTCCACCTGCTTGCGCCAGTAACCTGCAGAGAAAGAAGGTTAAAGATCTATTACACTCTGCCTAGGACATCAACAACATGTTACCAATACCAACGACATTTTTCTGGAAAATAATTGTATAAGATGTTTTAATGTTTTTATTGAAAACATGACAAAAATGTTGTAACTGCGAGCTATAACTCAAATGACAAATTTCACGAAATCACAAACTAAAAATATAATAGTCAGAATCAGAAAGTTCAATTATTTTAGAAGCGAGAAACAGAAGAGTCCATGAAACAGGGGGTGGTCTTTGAGAACTTTGCCTCAGTGGAGGAAGAGAAGTGGAAAGCAACAAAAGAGGAAATGTTTAAGAAGCATTGGAGAGAACCGTTTTTCAGAGATTAGGTGACCGGACGTCTATTTGAAATTAAATCTTGGAATACTGTATGCCTGTGTGATGATATCAATATTAAACCTGAGAACAAACACGGAACCCAACACAGAGATAGCCGATGGGTGGGTGCATGCTTAATATAAAGATCAGCTATGAGGATCGTGAAGCAGTCAAGAAAAATTAGAAAAAGAAAAACCCAAAAACAAAGTGCCACAAAAAATTGAATAAAATAAAAAGGAGATTTCATAAAAATGAGTAAAACAAGAGCGCAAAAATTTTTGAAATTAGATTTATGTATTGACTACTTGGAGTAATGTTTGAAAAGGTTGAATTTTATCTTCACTGGAAAACCACTGAAAGTGTGAGACACATTTGAAACAAATGAGAAAGAAAGATGTGGAAGCAGAACATTGAAGCATTGCTGGCTACAGACAGAAACAGCAGTCGGAAGAACAAATGATAATATGACGATGATGAGACAACGACGATGATGATAACAAACGAATAACCTCTTCCTGGAGACACGGCACTGGTGATGATTGGTTTCTGGTCCACCCAATCTCCTCCCTTGCTGTTGCTCATGTCCTTAGTACCCAGGAGACCCTCGAGAATATTCATCTGTTTGAACTTTGGCACCGACGGATAGAAGAGACCGACAGTCTGGGTTGCTGCCTCTGTGGTCTGCAGCGCGGGAGGTCCGTTCATGGACATCTTCAGTTCATTTTTAATTAAGATGTAAACAGAAGATTTGTCTTTTTATACATTTTTTTAGAAACTTGATTTATTTTCACAAAATTTTACAACAAAATGATTGAAAACAGTCATCTGAGACCGATGAGTTTATTTTGATAGTAACTAATAACGAATCATTCTTACCATTCCGTTTATCGAAGATCTGAAATGCATTAAAATATAAAAACGTGAATATTTTTAAAGATCCTATCATGTAGTTACAAGTTTTATTAATGATTATGTCAAAACAAAAAGACCATTTTAAAAATCAAATATCAAATCATCTCTTGCATCTAAATCTACTCAACAAATTCGCATTTCTATCAAAATTACTATTAACCGAAAAAGTTATCTAATGTCAAAATTATTTGAACATGCCAGAAGAAAGTGACGAACCCAGGAAGCATGTTATCGTCAGCAGGGAACTGCAACAAGTTGCCACAGTTAGCGCAATAATGAGCATGAGCCTGGTTGGTCGTTCCGCACTTGTTGCATGCGATCGGCTGTGTGTTGCGCAACAAAGCATATTATAGGTTATTAATAAAAACTATCAACTAAACAGCGAAATAAACTGATTGCGATTAAAACCAGCGAGGCAAAGCCAAGTTATTTATAAGCATAAGAAGAAAGGAGCCAGCAATCATTCGGCTCTTATACAATTTTCCATCCCATCACATCTGAAGATAGAATGCACTCAACATTCCTAAGATGACAGCACAAAGAACATGCAGAGTTTTATCTACAGCACGAATTTTTTAGGGATTGTGGAATGGTAGATAATTTAATTTAAGATATTGTGGAATTGCCTATATGTGTTTTTAATAACCCTGATAAGATAATTGATATAATTAGAATTATTTATACAATTTTATTAAAACAAAAACAAGTTTACAAAAAACCACAATTGAAGCAGTCTGGTTGTTTGCATTTGTTTGTTCACATAAATTTCATGAAGTCGAAAGAAATTTGAGGTGAGTTAGTTAGCTAAACTTCCAACACATGTTAGGAAAAAGCAAGCAAATATAAATGAATGATTGAATGAACAAGCAAAAAATGAACAATATTTTTTTTAAATTCGAAGAACATGTGAAAGCTGCAAAATAATATAATAAAGTAAAGGATATGGTAAGTAAATTTTGCATAGAAAAATTGAATGTATATTTCTAATTACTACAATCTTTATAATGAAATCTTAGCTAAATTTTTAAAGCAAAGATTTATATTCATATAAATAATAAAATTTAATAGCGTAAAAATCTTTGAAAGCTCTAGTGAACGAACGATCAATCACCAAACGGAATCATATGCACGTGATTATCACTTGAAGCTTTTGCAAGAGTCTATGAAAAGTAGTTACATCTTGTTATTCTTTACTCACCACATAACTGGCGTCTGACGGTAAATCATAAATCTTTCATTTCGTGAAAAATTAAAAATTTCAGTTAGATGAGAATAAATAGCAAAAGTTCGAGACAAATCTTCATATCAAAAATGCATTCGATCAACCGACATACACTAAATGAAATAAGTTTAATTACATCTTACATCACCTAAAGTATGATGAAGTAGACGTAACAAAAATAAAACATTGCCATAACCATAAAACTAGTAACATAACAAATAGCAAAATCTCGTTACAAGAACATATTCTTTAAAATTAATCCATAATCGTCATAAGATGTCTCAAGTCAAGGTGGGTGAGTTATGAATGTACACAATGCATACAACGCATCATTTGTTGTTTGTACCGTCACTTCAACCGCTTCTTAAACCGCTAATATTTACTGTACCTCACGTTACATGCTCACATCTGTTCGCCTGAACATGCCACTCCTCTATAATAACGAAAATTTTATACTTTTCAATTTGACCAAAAGCGCATTTCAAGCTTGAGCCATGTCAGCAAAAACAATTTTTTAATAGTTGCACAACGCAAGACACCTTAATTTTAAAAGGATCATAAAATGAGTAACTAACTAATCATCATTACCATAACATAAGCATCATCAATCCCATCGTCACCACACTTGCAAAAAATCATGTAGTTACATACTTTGGACTGGCACCAATCACAAAACCTGGCCTTCGAACTGTTGACCCTGCCACACTTGGAGCAAGTTTTGGAGAGATTGTTGGCGCTACTGCTTCGTGTTGGTGAGATATTCAAACTGGCCGGCAGGTTTGACTATCAAGCAAATCATCAATTTTTATTTAAAATTTGAAAAATGTAACAAGTAACAAAATTCTCAAATAAGTTTTTAAATTAAAAAATAAAGAAAAATGAAATAAATAAAGATATCTTTTTTGAAAGATTTTCCGATAAAAAACAAAAAAAACAAAAAATCCACATAGTTTTAAACACTCAACCTAAAACTATCCATGCAAAATATGCATCTGCCAGTAACAAACACGCTAAAAACACGCAAGAAGATATAACGGACCTCGGGTAAGGAAGCGCAGCATGTGACGCAGTATCGAAGGGTGGCCTGGTTCGCAGTGCCACAGACCACACAGGGAACCATTGAGGAGAGTTTGACATCTGACCTCGGAAGGCATTGTTGTTTGAGGGGGGATTCACATACGATGCATGAGGCCATGTTGAAAGGCACCATTGACTGACATGTAAAACATCTGCCCACCTGAGATGGAATGACGAATGAATTTGTTCTGGCGTGATGTTTCAGTGTTGTTTCCGCTGTTTTTCAAATTGTCTAGATATATAATGACATTGTTAACAATATGAGGCTGATTGATAAGGACATGGCATGAACACAAAGTTTCAAAGTTTTCAAAGTTTATTCATAATCGACAACATATCAAATAAGTGAATAAGAGTTATGAAGTTGAATATGAGGAGACCGAAAAAGACTGTATGTCTTGTGGTGGTTGCAATGTACATACAACGTACATAAACTGTACGTACAATACATACAACGTACATACAGTGTACATACAACGTACATACGGGGTACATATAATGTACATACAACGTACATAAAATGTACATACAATGTACATACAACGTACATAAAATGTACATACAATGTACATACAACGTACATAAAATGTACATACAATGTACATAGAGTGTACGTACAATGTACATACAGTGTACATATATTACTTGGTTAACTTGAGGAGGAGGAAGTTTGTTCTGGATGAGTGGAGTGATGGGGTGTCCACAATCATTACAAAACCTTGCAAACGGATCAGACACGGGTCTAGGAGCCAAACAATATGAGCACCTGCAGTTCGTTAGCAACATTTCCCTATCATCATGATCATCATCGCCATTAATGTGATCATCACTATATTCGCCATCAATCATCCGACATTATCTTTGTCAACGTCGTTTCCATTATCACGACACTGGCGTAATTCACTTGCATGTTTTATTAATTATTTTGAGGTTCATCTAGAACGATGACCGATTGTAAGCGCAAAGAACACATTAAAACAAATCGTATATAAAAGCGAATCAATGAAAAAACGTTAAGAGATAAACTTGAGGTAGTCTGTTTCTCTCTGCAAGCGAACAAATTGATTGGAGTCTGTAATGACGGGGGCGCCTGTCCTGAAACCCGCCAAGCCTGACTTTTTCTGCCAGGGTAAAATAAATGTTGCTGATTGTTAATAACAATCACTCTTATCGATTGTTACTGTCTTTATGAAATATAAATGATGATTACATTATTTTACAACGATATTCAATAAAGGCAACACGAACCAACATGCCGTCATCAGGGGTTCTCGATCTTTCCATAGCAAGGAATTTATTTGGAAGGGTTTTGTTAAATTGAACTTGTTTTGAATCTAAGTGAATGAATGAAAAGAGTTGTTCATTCAATTTTATTTTAATATCGAGAGCGTTTAAATTTAAAAAACCATTTAATGATTTGTCGATCATTAATAAATATCGACAGGTAACCATTTTATTGGTAGTTGTTGATAGTACCAAAACATATTTTGTTAATCTATTTAAATTAAGCAGAAGAAAATTAATAAAGTAAAAGGTAAACTTGAAAGCCTACTTTTGATATCCGTCCAAGCCTGCTTGCTATCCATCATGTTGTGTACAAATTTCTTCACTTTATGCTTGGCGTCCTGGGTGATAGTGATAACTATTAAAAAATATTCCGGCAGGAAAATATTTTTAGGTTTCGAAAATCGACAATAGATTAAATTAAAACTATAAAATCAATAAACTCTAGTTGTTTGAGCGTCATTCGACCTACACTTCAAGCGTAGGTAATAGAAAAATTCAAACATGCTCTTTTTTGAATTCACACACGCACACATGAGGACACACGTTTTAAAAATCATTCTGAAATAATAGCCGTTATAAACGACTTAAGACGAATAATAACGAGTTTTAAACAACCATAAAAAAGACCAAAATCTAAAAACTTACGTTATTAGACGGGATGTCGTTCATGAAATTTAAGTTATCTACTGCTTCACTCTGTTCGTGCTGTGTTGGCACGAACTCTACATCAAAAACTTTTGTAACTATGTAACTTTGACGGTTGTCACTGAGTGTATGATTTTAATTAAAAAATACTTACTACAAGACTGCACTTAAAATTTCTACAGTTAAACTTACTCAGAAATAGCAAGAGCCTTGATAGTTTTCTTTCCGGCTTCCAGAAAGATGGGTTCCTTGTACTGCATTGTGGACTTCGCTTCAGGGCTGAAACTTTCAAAAGGTTCCGGCTTAAGTCCATTAATTGTAAAAAATATTCGAACATTTGGAGTATCTGTTAAAATTAGGAAACCAAAAAATGTTTAAATGTTTCAGTAGCTCAATGAAAATAACGCCAAAACTAAAAAAATCTTTTTCAAGCAGTTTAGGTCTTTAGGATAAGTTCTCCTTTTATTTAAAATGCTTTAATATTGAATTTGTTTATTTTATGTTTACAAATGACAAATTATTCAAAACCTGATTTCATTTCAATTCTTGTGTTTGTGTCAATAAATGTCTTGGGCTGGCCCAGAATAGGAGGTCTCAGAGGAATGATCACAGGAACCGCTATTGAACCGGCAGTCATGATTGCTTATTTGCTAATTAATGATTAATTCTCTAAAAAAAATAAGAAGCAATTTTTTAATCTTTTTTGAGAAAAGCTAACTAAACTAAAAAAAAAACAAAAAAAGCTATGCTAAACGTAAATACTATTCACTAAATAAATAGCAAAAAGAAAAGGTAAAAAGGATTTTATTTAATTTTAAATTTAATTTAAAAAAATTAAGTGGCAGTTAGTTTTTCATCAATGATACATTGAGTAAGTGAAAATAAATATTTCTTATATGTAATTATAATTCTACGTTATTAAAATTAAATAAATATAACTTTGAAATTTGTTTGCAACGACAATTCAACCAGATTAAGATATTGGAACGATTTACATAGCAACGAGGAACAACAGACCCGTTGTCAAGCAGGTGCTCATCTCATTCGATCTACTTTTAAAAAATGTTCCTGAGTATGAGAAATGTGAACATATGTGAGCAAATGGTGGAAAAGTAGAAAATGTGTAGGACACTATACACAAATGGAATGAAGAAATGTATAGAATACATTCTATATATAAATTTTTTGCAATTAATATTAATAAACAATATTGCGTGCAGGCAAAAATTACTAAACATACTTTATTATAGTTAGGATTGTTATTAATATTTATGTTCAGAGAGGTTATGTTTCCTGTCTCCTCCAACCACTAGTTTTTAGGTATAACTTTTGACTCGTCCTTCACTTTCAACTCTCATGTTTCAACTATCACAGATGCTTGCCATTACTACAACATCTGGCTGAACCATTCGTCACATTTACCATTTACCTTCAGTTCAGCTGGTATGCATTTGTTCCGACTCGTCTTGTCCTTTCACGTCTAAAAAAGCAATTTTAATTCTAGAATAGACGCATCAAATATCTTGATTGAGCGTTATTATAGACTTGTAACATAAATCTCATTACGTATTAATTATCCCATATCAATATGCGTAGCACAATAATAATGTATTAAAATAAAAAGCAACTCTCTTTATTAGCTTCTGTATTAGCTCGACTCACAATCATAATCGGAGTAAATTTTCATCAGAACTCCTCATCCATCAAATACCAAATACTTAGGAAGAGTTCAACAAAACCGAATACTTAGACGAAGAACAATTCGATTGCTTTGATGACGATGGCGTTGGTCAGGGTCACGTAGACACGCAATTTTACATAAATATTTTTCACATCCACACGTAGCATCAGAGCGAAGGTAAGACCGAACAATTTTTATTTTATAAGTTTCGACATTTTCGTGACAATTTTATTAGGACAAAGTGAGAAAAAACTTACAAATGACTTATTATATATTAGGATATCAGACGATCAATTGAATTGATAAACAAAGTTCAAGACATCAAAAATCCACATGAACAATTCATCGATTTAAATAAATTTTTGGTGAATATTTAAACAAGTATGAAAAATGTTAAGTACTATAAATAGAACTCAGAACTCAGTCTATTAGTTAAGACCAATGAGACTTGCATGAAAAATTAATATTAGCTATTAAGAAATTATTACAATGTAGACGTTACAACGGGAACACAAGTGAAGAAGAATCGTTCATTGAGGGTGTTGTAATTATGACCATCGGTGGTAAGCCATGAGGAGTGCAGAGAGACCAGCCATTGAAACTGCTCCAAATCCATACCAGAACCACTTGTTAGAAGAAGTCTGTTAACATTTTAATTACAAGTCATTAACGAAGAACGAAAATTGAAAAAATATTTTATAACTTCAGCAGATGAGTCTTTTCGTTTACCTGTTAAAAAACAAAACCGACCTGAAGTTTTTTATTAGATGTTTCTTCCGTTTTTGTGCCCAACATTTTCTTATATAAATTTTTTTCTATTTCATTCTCTTGTTGTTTCTTTTTCTCTAACTTCTGTAGTTCTTGCAGGACAACCTAAACTCAAAATGTTGTAAAAATTATAAACAAATATTTGTAAGCCAAATAATAAGAAAAAAGAAAAATTATACAAAAGCATGAACCTTTGAATTTGGATCTAGCTTGAGAGCTTTTTTCAAACACAATACTGCTCCAGTTGTGTCTCTTTGATTCATGAGGCACTGAAAATTTGGGGATATTTTAAAGAGTATTACAAAATCAATGCAATAACCAAAGAAACCCATTAGTTTTGACTGACCCAAAATTAAACCGCCATTCGCAAGTTTTTTTGGTTTACAGCTAGTTAAAACAAATGAAATATAAATAAAAATATTAACCTTTCCTTTTCTGAAAAGGGCCTTAACATTTTCTGGCTGCACCTTTAAAACCTGATCACAAGACCTAGCAGCTGCTTCCCAGGCATCAATCTGTCATTAATGTTGAAAAAAAGAGTCAGCATAATAATTACAAATTAACAAAGTTTTGTAGAACAAATGTCATTATAGAGATCATCAACAGATGATAATAGGAAAAGGCACCTTCATTTGGGCAGCAGCCATGTTATTGAAGCACTTAACTCTGGAATCCAGCCAGGACTGGAGCAGTGTGGTGTCGTCTTCATTGTTGTTATGCTCGTCATCATCGCCAAGTGCCTGATCAAATATTTTCATTTATTTTGATTCTTTTGTACTATTTTGACATACTTTATTTCAGAACATTTGACCAATTATTATCAAGCCTTCCAATGCCCTCTGACATTTAACCTCAGAAAAGCACATAAAACTGAGCAATGCAATGTGCATATTGCTAACAATGAACAAGGAAAGCATCAGATGAAGAAAATAGAAAGTAAACCAACCTTGATAGCTCTGTGATATGCATCAATAGACCTCGTGAACTCACCCCTCCCATACAATTCATTCCCTCGCTCCCTTTTACTTTCTCTATGAACATCCATTTAAAATTTTTAAATAAAAATAGGAACAAATTTCCAAAAATTGAATTATAAAAGTTTTTTTCAGTAAATGTTATAAAAAGTATTTTTCTCAAAAAAAATCACAAAACATGTTGATATTTGTGTGCAATTAAGATTTTTCATGGCAAAACGAGATGCAATTTTTATGTTTGAATATTTGAACACACATCAAACCAAAAACTGTAAAACATTAAAATGGTTTTAAGGATTTAGAAAAGCATCAACAGAAAAAAATAAAAACAACGGTTAGTATAGAAAGGGAAATAGTGAATTTTTAAAAAGTGAATCTCCCACCCAATGTTTGTCCTAGTGAGCAAAGGCATTGAGGAATAAGGTTGTTGATCTTGGACATCCAAGAGTTCCAGTTCATAAGTTATACGAGCATTGCCTGGAATGTCTGGTTTCCTGGTTTCGTTTGATTTGATTCAATGACATTTGAATAATTCTGTGGTGAACAAAAATCTGTCAATTCATCTGCCTAACTAATATCATCCATTTATCCATTTAATCGGATATTTCAACAACCTCATGAATGATACAATGCATGAATGATACAATGCATGAATGATACAATGCATGCAATCACCATGCATGCATTCATTGCCTGACAGCATCCTGGGTGATACAGACCTACCCTTCTCTCCATATGCAAATCTTGCCTCGGTAACCAGTTCACACACCTCGCCAGGGTGCATCAATGGCACACAGAGATCAAATGCTGCAATGATATTGCAAAATATTATACAATAAGAAAAAAAAATAAATATTATCACTATTCTTGCTGTACAAATAAATGTTATAAGTTACAAACAGTTGACAATAACAAGTAGACCACTACAAATACTTGACATATAGTTGATTGCACCTCAAGTGATATAGTTATCAAAAGGAAATAGTACTTAATAGAACTTAATAGAATAGTACTTAATAGAACTTATGGCAAAACATTGAAGTAATGGCTGTATGTTAGTTAATACTCGAGTAGATCTAAAATTATAAAACGAATACAAATTTAATATATATGTAATTGATGTGCCATTTATGCTGGAAACAAACAGTAAGCGTTGAAGAGCAAGCAACTTTTAGTATTTACACTTTAAACAAATATAAGTCTTCACAAAAGTGCTAAGTGCCATGATGGATAATCAAAACTAAAATTTTAATAACATTTTCCTACGATCATATATAGGGCAAGCTATGAGTTCTCAGGAAACAATTTCAAACAAAATTCGAACTAATAAAAATATTTATAAAAATAATTATCAATGGCAATCACCATTTATATGTTCATCTTCTCCTAGTGCCAATGTTAACTTCTCATGGACATCAACAACTGTCCCATCATCCAGCTTGCCTGAACATTTCAACTGGATCTGCTGCCCATTTCGAGGTCTGCATGCTTTCTCATCTCCTTTCATTATTACCTTTATGTTTCAAGCAATTCATTCCATTTCAGTTAGATTTAGATAAAATAATTATTTTACTGTGATAATATTTTCAATATTAAAATTGTTATTTACTCGTTTTTTAATTTGATCATGGCCAAGAATTAGAGTCCAACCATCATTTTCTGCAGATTTTAATTCATCTCCCTCTGACAAAAAAATATCCAGCTAATCATCAACTCTTGCAATATCTGCTCAACTAAATTATTTCTATAGTAAAATAGAATTAAATAAGAAATAGTAAAAAAAAGAACAATGAAAGTACCATTATTGGCGCTGCATTTGATATCTTCACTGTCCAGAGCATTGCAGGGATTGACTTGAGGGCAATGTTCAATGTGGTTAGGTTCCTCTGGTTCTTTTATATCATCTGGACTCAGTGGAGCTGCAAAAATTACAAACCACAAATTACATTACTCTTTTATTGCACAAAAATACACCCAATTAGTAACTAATTATTTCAATAAAATTAACCTAAGGAATAGTTTTCTGAAGATGTTTCAAAACTAAAAACTCAAAAATGCAATCTAGAACATACAGACTAAAAATACCCTGTATTTAAATTATAACTAAACATTACAACTGAGTCTAAATAAGCATTAGTTTTTACAATATTAATAACAGACAAAAATTTTAATAGATGTTATAATTTTGCATCAAGTAAAACTGGGTTGTTGAAAAATTATCTATTAATAGTATTAATACAATAGTTAAAACTATTCAAAAGATTTTTACTGTTGTTGCTACTGGAGATTTCAAAATATGGATCTTCAATAGAAATATTTCTATTTGGTTCACCTGACAGAGTTTCAGAATGTAGTTCTTTTATCTGGCTTTGTTTGACCTCTTCCTTTTCAAAGCCATTATTTACAACCTTTAGATCCTCATCACTGCCAAAACCATTCGATAAAAGATTTGATTCTGAAGTTTCCTGTTTTGTGTTAATGTCTTCAATCGTTTCTATAGCTATTTCTTGGTCCATATGAGTTTTAAGCCTGTTAAAAATATTTAAAGTGCTTAAATAAATCTCCATTACTAATTAATTCATTCATAAAATATTTATTTATAAAAATAAAATGAAACTCAAAAACAAGTTTTGGTTTTCAAGTTAAAATAGAAAACTGAAATTTCAAATTTCCAATATATGGATGAACATTTAGTTTTGAAAATTGTTTATGTTTATTCATATTGCCTATCATATTTTTAATTATATCTTATTTTTTAAAATAAATGCTTCCAAATGTCCTATATTATAAATTGGAGGTCAAAAAGCAGTTAACATCCTATGCTTTAATGGGACAAGGAGGAGTAGAGATACCCCTAACTGAGGCAGAAAAAACTATGGATCTTGGTACAGACAGACTAATAGATGCTAAGCTGATTTTAATAATTGTGAGTTGTTTAATGTCAGGGCTAGAGAACGTTTGTTAATTGAATGTTTGCTAACTTTTGACAAGTTAACAACCAAAGCCAAAAATCTGTCATTTATTTAATTTTAATTCATTTTATATTTATAATTTTATTTAAATTTAATACTGGAATCTTTTACTCTAAAGTCTAATTCTAATATAGTCCAATTACCATCTTATTATTAATTATAATTATATATTAGTTATGATACTGTTATTTTTTTATATTATAGTCACTATAGTAAATAGTTCCACAGTGGAATATTTATTATATATTTTATTTAATCAATGTTTAATAATTAATAATTTTAATAACTTAATTTATTTATTTAGATTCAAAAATATTAATTTTATTAAAATTAGAATAAAATTTTAAGCACACGCCAAGATTAGTAGATTATATTATTATAATAGATAGATAAAAGTAGAACAAACGTTAATCTGAAATTTGCTAACTATTTTGAGTTTAATGATTTAATGATAGAGCAAATAATTTGCAGAAGTAAAAAAAACCAAACGAGAAATAACCAGAACAATGATTCTTCAATTTTTTAACTTAAATAAAAATAAATAAATTTAAATATAATCAGGGTTGTGTTGTGAAGCCAAATGGAACAGTTTTGTTCGTCCATATCAAGGGGAGGCCTATTTACCAGCAAACAACACCTTCTTATGGGTCGAAGCAGGGATATGCAAAAAACCTCAATTTTTTCAACTTTTAATTATTTTCAGTAATGTCTTCCCTTGCTCCAAACCACATAACTAGAATAATAGGACTAATCGATCAATTCGATCTATCGGTCGGGCAATTTGTCGTGCTTGGATTGTTGGCTTACGAAATTGCATGGATTTTTTTAATTTTTACTTGATTTAATATTCTTAAAACATTGTAGTAATTCTATTTAATTTTAATAATGATTAATAAAATTATGTATTATTAAATTATTTTTGTTAATTTGAATATAAAAATTGCTTTTGGTCCGGTGAAATCCGGTGGCTTACTGAAGCCGAAGGTTGGCTTAGTAGGATTGAACTATAGTCACCCTTTTTTTTACACTATTCGATCATGTTAAAAATTCGTTTGCTTATGAAATAAACGGCCTAAATAAGTCAAAATTGTTATTTGAACAACTATCTTCATTATATTCAATGAATATTTTACATTCTGCTGGTGCTCATAAGAAACTGGCTGCTGAAATCATACGTTGGCTTACAGCAGTGGCTTACAGGGTTTCATAGAACTCTTACGATAGCACTTTTTTGTACATATAATGCTTTAAATAAATCAATATATTCATATCACAATTATTTTTGTCAGTATAAATATAGAAATTGCTTTTGTCAGGTGAAAAACAGTGGCTTACTGAAGCCGTAGGTTGGCTTAATCGGATTTTTTCTCATGTATACAATACTATGAGATAAATCAATCAAACAATCAGTCAGTCGGTCGGTCGGTCAGTCAGCCAGCCAGCCAGTCTGTCACTCAATCAATCAACCAACCGATCAATCAACCGATCAATCAATCAACTAAATTGAATGAACCAAATAAACAAAAATAAAAACAAAAATAAATAAAAAAAATTTACAAGGCCTGTTCAAACTCGAACAAACAGTTAACCGTACAGATCTACAAACAATTTTGAGATTTTAGTAAAGAAAGAAAAACACAGTAGTTGCTTTTATTTGAATTCATTCAAAAATGAAAAGTGACGGTTAATTAAAATTTTAAAATGTCAATTTTTTTTTAAATTCGTATTTTAAATAAACAAATATAACAAAATATCGACCGATAAAATAATTATTATCCATTATTATTATTATCATACACACTCCTTAGAAGTTCTCGAAGGATAATAAACCACGTAACATGAACATTTAGTAAGAACAGTTCACAACATATCATAATGACTAAATCAACATACTAAACAGAAATAATTTATACATGCATATATACAAAGTAAATCAAGAAATATCCAAAAATTATATAACCAATTTAAAAAAAACTAGAAACCAGTCAACATTTAATGAATAAATAAATAGACATTATTAAAAAGATTGTTCAAAAAGGTACAATTTAAGGCGACGACGAGAATGAAATGTAGTTTGTTTTGTTGGTGTGGTGTTGTGAAGCGAAAACAAACACATCACACAAAACTAGTAAGAAGTCGCAAGAATAATAGTCAGTCACCTACCTATAATAAAATTACTCTCAGGGCCCTAGCTTACTTATAAACATTGACTCAACTCACTTACCTACAAATTTGTATTTCTCGTTTTAGATGTTTCAAGTATTTTATTTAACATATTTTAGCGTTTTTATTTTACTTGAAGCTTTTTAACTAATGATAAGCCCTAGCCTACCTACAATTAGTTAACTCATTTCAGTCCCTAACTTACCTATGAATTAAATTAAAGCCCGGTTCACGGTAAAGAAAATATTAAGTTGAAGAGAAACATAGCAACAACGACACCGAATGAATGGATGTTGTGTATGTATGTGTTGTATTGATGTGTGTGTATGTAAATGTGCGGGCGCGCACTCTCCAGAAACTTCACTCACTACCGACGAACCTCCATTGCACCGACCATCATCTGACACGCATCGATGGAATGAATTTGACCGGGTACTGAAAAATAAATTGAAAAAAAAATTAATTCACTAAAATAAAAAACAAGCAATTGGAAAAAATAGGCAACTTATCTTTTTGAGATAACACTCAATCTTTGTTCAAATTCGAGTACTTTCAAAGGTACAATGAGACAAAAACAAATTTACCTTTAACATTATCTTCGATTTGTCATCGGAACGATCATCATGAGACCACCATCTGAAACGTGCTGACGCCCACCACAGCCCACCTCTCATCATTCTGTAGACAAGTTTTTATTAATTAGCGAAGTAGTAAATCAAGAAACAAAGAAACGAACGAATAAATGATTAACTGAATGATTGAACGATTGGTTGAATGAATAAATTAACTAATTAATTAATCAACCAATGATTTAATGAATGGAATGAATCAATGAATAAATTAACTGAGGAATAATTTGAAAGATAGTGATAAAATGAATGAATGAATGAATGAGAAAAATAAAAAAAAGAAACTAAATCATACTTCAAAAACCGTCGTTGTTGTTATCTTTGAATTGTCATCGGAACGATCATCATGAGACCTCCATCTGAAACGTGCTGATGCCCACCACAGCCCACCTCACATCATTCTGTAGACATTTTTTAATAGCGTATTAGTAAATCAAGGAACAAAGGAACGATCGAATAAATGATTAACTGAATGATTGAATAATTGGTTGAATGAATGAGTGAATGAATGAATTAATTAATAAATCAATGATTCAATTAATGAATAGAATGAATTAACGAATCAATTAATAGAAGAATAATTTAAAAGGTTGAGTGATAAAATGAACGAATGAGAAAAATAAAAAACGAAACTAAACCTTACTTCAAAAATCGTCGTTACTGTACTTTTCATTGCACCGACCACCACCATCTGGTCGGCACACAAAATACCATCCGAACTTCAGAGTGTCAGTCGGACAGCTGATTCTTCCTACACCACCATCATCATATGTAAATCATCATGAGACCACCATCTAAAACGTGCTGACTCCCACCGCTGCCCACCTCTCATCATTCTGTAAACAAAATTTTTTTATTTGCGTAGTAGTAAATGAATGTTAGAATCTTAGAAGTAAAAAAAATTAAATTATAAAATGAAAATAATGTCAAATAAATAAAATTTTAAAATAATAAAGTAAGTAAAATGTAAAAAAAACTTACCGTCGTCCATTCGACAAAGGCAGAATGTTGAATGCGGTCCGGTTCCTACGTTGTCCTCCAAAACTGGTGCCAGTCCTCCTCGAGGTTGTTGTTGAAACACAGCCCGTATGATGGAGATAGATAGAGAAAGAGTAGATTCTCATCAGAAAGCTTAGCGGTGCCTACATCTCAAATTGCTTAATAAAAATAATCCTATCTACCTATTCAATTACCTTAACTAATCTATATTAAATTGTTAATGGTACGATAGTCGAAAGTCCCCTTTCATTCTTCCTCCTTGCACAGAGGTTCACCGACAGCCAGGGCACCGGATAGAAAACCATTGCCGTGCGGATAGTAGACTATTGCCGTGCGGATAGTAAACCATTTGCCGTCCGGAAGCCGTGCGGGTAGTAGACTATGGCCATGCCGCATGGTAAATCATTGCCGTGCAGATAGTAAACCATTGCCGTCCGGATAGTAAACCATTGCCGGTACACCACTGGCCACCAAGGCTTACCTCTGACAACAGACTTCGAAATTCAGAGTCTATCGGCTATCGTACCCTCAACTTACCTATTCATTACAATTAAGCCCTAGCTTACCTAAAATTACAAAAAAACTCAAAAGCCCAATTCATTTGCCAATCGGCACCCACCCCACCACCTACGTAATGCCTTGGGCTCCAACTTAGTAATAATATAAAACTTAAACCCAACATCTATTAATGAGTGTGTTTTACAACGTAGCCTTAACTTACCTATTCATTACATTATGGCCCTAGCTTACCTA